CATCGTGTCTGTGTGTCTGTGCATGTGTGTGTGCACGTGTTTGCGTGCGCACGTTTGTGCACGTGCCTGTGTGTGTGTGTCTGCACACACCTGCGCAGCACCTCCAGCGGCTCCTTCTGGGCCCTCCCCGGCCTGGGAAGTGCTTGGGGCCACCCTTCGTCCCCAGTCTCCCTTCCTTCTTTCATCACCACAGAGAAGTCTCTTGGGAACCGGCAGGTGGGGCCCAGCAGGCCAGTGGCCCTGTCCGTCCTCAGGCCCAGGGCTGTGGCCAGGCCTGCCCTCCCTCACCCCCCAACCTGTACGAGGCGAGGCTGGAAGGAGGCCGTAGGGCCCGGGGCTGAGTCCCCTGCCGGGGGGAGCCCCTAGGGAGAAACACCGGGGTCTCAGCTCGGCCCCACTGCGAATTGCTTGGCAGAACTGAAAGTTGGCGAGTCATGCCAGCTGGGTCTCCTGGGCCAGGGCCTGCCCGAGCCCCCGAAGGACGCCTCTGTCCAGCGTGTCCACCTCTGTCCCCATGCGTCCCCCCGCCCCAGAGTCTTCGACTTGCTAGAAGACTGTTGCTTTACTACAGTGACAGGGAGGGTGACATGGTCACATCGCTCAAAATTAAAGCGGTACTGAAAGGTTTTGAGGTGGTGAGTCTCATCCGGTCCCCTGAGCCCCAGGGGCAAGCCGGCTCCTGGCTCCTTGCAGGAAGAGCTTGCACAGAGCACTGTTTGCTCCCCTCCCCCACCTGGGGACCTTCCAGGGTGTGACCCCAGGTGCAGGCAGGTGGGTGCGGGGCAGGCAGTGCTGGGCCCTGTCAGGTTACCAAAGGCTGCCGCTTCCCTGCTGGCTGGGGCTTGGGCTCAGCCTGCCTCTACACCTGCGGGCGGGGCTGAGGCTCCCCCTGCACCCCCAGCTGGGCGCCCTAGCCAAGTCTCTCCTTCTCTGGGCTCAGTCTCCTGGCCTCACGCTGCACCTGCGCCATCAATGGCCCTGACCACCGGAGGGGTAGGCACTGGGCCTTTCGGGCAGCCCCCCTCCCCTCTGCTTCCTCCCTCCCTCCAGCCAAGCCCCCCCACACACACACTGGGTGGGACCTGAGGGGAGCTGGCCTCCAGTGTCATGTTTTCCTGGAAAAGGCGCTGCCAGGGGAAAGCAGGCCCAAAGGGACTAGAGCAAAAACTTACCCTGTTTCATCATCACTGGAGAATGTTGCAAAGGGCCTGTCCCCTCAGAAAACAACTGGGGGAGGAGCTGGACTGTGTCTGGCATGGAAAGCCCTAACAGCCTGGAGGGCAGCACCTCAGGAAGCCCTCCTGCAGTGCACTCCCGGGAAGGCCCACTGGGAAGAGGCCCTGCGGCCTCGTGGGTCACCTCCCTGGCCGGGGATCTCACTCATGCCACGGTGGCTGTGGCCAGCTTCGTTGCCCTACCAGGGAGGCCCCCTGCTCTCTCCTAAGGGGCCTCTGGGCCCTGCATGCCACAGGGGGGAGGGGTTGAGGTGGGGGGGACAGGGGTGCATACCACCTGGCTTCCTACCAGCTATTTAACAGGTGAAAAGCAGAGCACTTCTGGGCCTGTGCTAGGGGCCATGGGGGCCCCTCCTGGGAAGAGGTGCCTGTGGTGGATGGCAGGTCAGCTGCCCTGGCCTTCCCCGGAAGTCAGCAGACTTCTGCCCAGGTCAGTGCAGCTGCAGATGACCCAAAGCAAGTCACTTCTCCTCCTGGGTGGCAGCAAAAGCTGCAGCCTGGAGGCCCCGCGGACGTTGTGCCCACTTACTGGAGGCCGCCTCTGGGCACCGGCACACGGTGCCAGCCCAGTGAGAGCGCGGGAGGGCGCCAGGGAGCAGGAGGCTCCAGGAGGGTCCTAGTGGGGCAGCCTGAGAGGCAGGAGCAGGCCTGGGGCAAAACAGCGGGAAGTGCAAGTCATCGCAGAGGGAAGTGGCCTCGCAGGGAGGCGCCTCCTGGAAGGCCCCGGCCTCCAGTCCCGGGGGGCTCGAGGGCCTGCTCAGCCGCAAGACCAGACCCCCGGCCCAGCCCGCAGCC